TCAGAACTGCCATCTTCCCACTTGCAGTAGTTCCATCTTGTTGAGATTAAATTTCAGTTAATTCACTCTTACCTCTCTAGAATCCTGTTCAGGAGTTCAACACCCTTCCTGGAATCAGTAAAACTAGGAAAGTAGAGGTGCATGCCATTAGTAAGCTTACAGCACTGCCTCCAGATGATTTTTTCCAGCAGCTTAACAGGAATGTTGAAAAGCATAATGTAGGCAGCATGGCACCTACAGGTTCTATAGCACCTTTGGATATCAAAGTGTCTGCTAAGCTGCTCTACCCCCTCATTTTTAATTCCTAGTTTTAAAAACAACAGCAGAGTTTCTCAATGGCAGCAGAGATCACCTCAAAGCAAAGTGGGGGTTATTAGAGGCCCTCTTCTTTTCCCGTGGATGCCTCTGGGCAGTATGTGGGACTCACAGACATTCTCAGGACATGAAGATAGCTGGTTGCTGCAGGCTGACGCTTTCATCAAACAGGGAGCTACAGCTGTTTCTGAACCATGACTAGGCTGAAAATTAGATTTGGAACGGATTTAAATAACCAGGCTCACCCAAGACTGCCTGAGGTTGAGATACCACCAACCTCCCCAAGACCTTGCTTAACAATGTAACTTGAGATACAGACAGAAATGAGCCAAGATCACAGGGTCCAAGTTAGACTTTTTTCAATTGCAATCTCATCACTCCCTTTTTAAAGGCTGCTGGTGCTATGCGTCCTCTCAAATAAGGATTCATTACTTTTAGCCAGGAAGGGCAAGGATCCAAAGAGTAACTAATAGGCCACAACCTTCTAAGCAGCTTTTCTACATCTTTTGGTCACACAAGCTGAACATAACTAATACTGCAGGACTTGGAGCTCCAGAATCATCCATCTCTGACAAAATCATAACCTTTCAGTCAGAATGAATGGCTTTTATCTACAAAGCAAAATGTAAGTGAGTTCAGAGAATATTCATAGATTTCTTTAACTGATACTTTATGTAAAATGTAGAAAATTCTTCACTGCATGGGAAAGGTTCACTTGTCCAGCATTCCATAGGTACAATGGTGGCACAGAAATGACTTTTTTGCCAGTGTAACTACCACAGACTAAACCCTGTAATTGTTTCTCACCTGTGTCTGATCATCCTCGTTCTGATAGTTGTTGACCTAACCATGTAATTGCCTGAACCTCTCCAGAAAACCAGGGAGCCAGCACAGTCCTATTATTGCGGATGTTTGGGCATAATTTTATCAATGGCCCTAAAATCTTCTTGTTCCAGACAAATACATGGGCTGGGTTCAGACTACACAATCATCAACACTCGAGGGCTAAGTGCAAGTTATTGCTAGACAGTGGGTTGCTGTCACAGCAAGGATTATTATGCTGTTTGAACCTAGCCTAGCTAACAAACCATGGTCAACAATCCACAGTCCACAACCCAATAACAAGCCATGGGTTCTCCTTGGGGTAGTTTATGCTTAACAAACCATGGCTTGTTAGTGCCGCTATTTCAGGTACCACAATAACTCAAGTTTCAACAACAACCCACACTCAACCCTTGAGTGTGAGTTTCTGTATTATCTGAAACCAGTCATAGGCTTCAGTAAGAGCAGTGCTAAGTCTTCTGGAAACTCCCCAGAGACCTCGGGAAATCTTCTGGCTCTATCAGCTATGTCAAGACAAACCATAACAATAGGTCTTCTATCCCTGTGGGAACTGAAAGTGGTCACAATTTCAATATCAACTGTGTAATAACCTATCTATGATAATAGAATGATTATAATCTCTTCTATCCACAAATCATTATTCCCAAACTGGTTCAGAACTCTAACATGTAACCTGCTAGAACTGTTGAGCCAAGTATATAATCTGAGGCCGGCCTCTGGGGCCACCATAGCCTCCCAACTATCCCAAGAGCAGGAACTCTGACTTTTCCCTATAACCGATGGGAAACTCATCTCCTCAACTCCTGCTAATCAACCTGTGCTTGAAGATAGCATTTGAAGCAAAACTAATCAAACCACTGTTTTACATCAGACCTGGTGAATGGAACCAAAATGTTGCTTCAACAGGGAAAAAGAAATCTGACTTAGATCAGTATATTCCATTTGCTTGTGGGATTTACAAATGCAAGACCACTAGCACAGTCCACTTGAGGTAACTATGTGATAACACCAACGTGCAGGGTTCTTGTGAAGCTCCAGTCCTGGACTAGCAGAGAACACTGATCAGTATCTGGGCTCCTTACCATTTAGTATGCCTCATGTTATCTTGTTTCCCTGTAACAGTCTAGGTTTGGTTTTATTTCTTTTGAATATATTTGCTCCACATTCCTTACTCCCTCTGTTTTCAATAACAGCTTTTCTTGTTTACTATTAACAAATGTTGCAGATGTGGTGACGAAAAGAGCTAGGCTGGTTAACTCTGTGAAATCCCACATTTCAAAGAGCCAGTGTTCCTATTCTAGTTATTCTCATATACTGAAGACATTGCTGGGATTCTCCAAGGAATAAAAGTCAGAATGGTAGAGTTACAGAGAAGACAGCTTGCATCTAGGATCAACTGGGCCTCCACACCTAGAAGACAAGGAGTGCCTAACCTGTGTTGATCTGAGGAGTAGCATGTCCCACTTGTACTTGGGATGTTTGAAAGGGTGCTATGTACTTGTATCTGGGATGCTGAAGGAGTGCTATGCATTTGCATTCAAAAGAGTTCTACCAAGAAATTGCACCTGATACAGGTACTGAGGGCAGAAACACACATACCTGCAGCACACTTGATACATTTCTACTTCCTAACTAGCATTTGTGGTATATTAAACCAAGTATACATTTCCAATAATCATTACTTTCAGGAGACCCAAAGGCAAAACAAGTCCCCACAGAGCCATAACGCATCTTGTTGTGCAACACACAAGAAGAAATTCCATTCCAGCTCCACCCAGAAATCAGGTCCAGCAAATGAGCATATTCTTTTTAAAGCAAGATTTTAACTCTTTACCAAGATGGGAAATACTCTGGAAGGTTTATATTACTAATCACCACCAAAACATCAGATATTTCAATACAACCAGGCTCATGTTTGACTTTGGCATCTTTCAATATCTTTGAAAGACATGAGAAATTTAGAAAAGTGCTTTTAAAGCTATTCGTGGCTTTCCTCCTCCTCCCTTAGGTGAACTCTTCAACAAAATAGATCTTGCTAAGTGCAACAAGTAAGGAACCAGCAAGGAAAATGTAGCTGGCACAGAAAGCTGTTCAACTGGTTCACAGTTTCTACAATGTGCAAAGCTCCTCTGACATTTCTTTTAAGGAGCTTCTGACCTCTTCTGTGGCCAAGAAAGGACAAACCACAGATGGCATTTTCTGTCCGCCAAATCAGTATTAAGTTCCTTGTGCAAGAATGTCAGCAGAGCATAGAGAGCCTCTTTCCTTCATGATCAGAGTAATCCAAAATCCCTGAAACTAGATAACACAGACCAAGAATGCAACCTCTGGCGTCTGCCTGCCTTTACCTCAGTCTTCAACCAAATGCCTCTCAGCCACACATTTACAGAGGTTTCCTCAGCATCATAAGGGGTGCTTGTTTTCCACTTGACCTACTGCTGCAAGACTGTAGGAGATATTGCAGACGTCTGTGTACCATCGCGCCAATATCATAGGCCAAGGATTGGCTTCTTCAATTGTATTTGTGTATAAGCTCCTATTGGAAGCCATCTCACACTTTGCTTTCTTACCAGCCTCTGCCACACTGTTGTACATCTTATCCAGATTTTTCCATTAAATGGAGTGCCTCTTCCCATTCACATTACCAACTTTAAAATCTCTGGCCTCTAAGCCCATGCCCAAACCTAGGAATTCAAAAGGAGGCCAAAGCATTGTTTTCAAAGCCCCTTCAAAGTTTGTCATAACATGAAATAACTACTGCATTGTGAGCTTATTAGGTCAGGCCACTGTTCCTTTTGCTTGGCTTGAAACTGAAGGAGCTACATTAGCTTCCCACTGGAGCAAATCTCATTCAGATGGTTAACTAGACATTATGGAGCTTTGTTTCTGGATCTTTTATCCAGAATGTTACACTGTGGCTCCTGGGAGGGAGGGGGCACGGACGAGGGGTAGCGGTTCCCTTTAATAAAAGGCACTGCCCAACTCCACTGCAGGGCCTTCGAGGTTCAGCCCGGGGAGCGGCTGGTCCCACAACCGTCACAAGGAAGCTCTGCCGCCACCATATGTCTCCTCGCCCACCCCACATTCAACCCCAAGTAAAGAAGCGAGCTTCCAGCACGAGGACCCCCACCCCAAAGTCATCGCCTAAGTTAAAGGCAACGAAGGGGCGCGAGCAAGTAAAGTAATGCTGAGCTAATTCATTCGCTCTGAATGTCTCAGAACCTGCAATGGGTGCGTGCGTGTGCGTGTGTCTGTCCCGCAGAGATCATGAGGTGGGTGTGGCTGTTTTGGCGCAGGACCGCGGCTGTTTTGCTCCCTACCTGCCCACACGGCCCTGCGGAAGGAATGTGCGCAGAGAGAGGCGCGGGCGCCCAAATCGCTCGGCCCGCCTAAACGAGGGACTCGCTCCCACCCACGCACACTGCCCGAGGAGCGGACTGCGCCGTTCTCCACGAGGAGGATGCTGGAAATCCTCAGCTCTGCCCGCCGGCGCCCTGGTCCGGAGAAGAAGCAGAGACTCCGCCGTCGGTCTTGGGTCGACCCGGGAAGCTGCAGCTGCGCGCTCGACGAGGACAATCCCGCTCTGTCTCCCCGACTCACTCGGCGAGGGCGCGCGCCTCGCCGGAGCGAGCCTGGAAAGCGAGCGAGGGGGAACTGGGCGCCCCAGCCCTGGCTGGGGAACGGGTCCAAGGAGCGGCGCGCGTGAGGCATCCTCGCTCGCCCTCCCGCCCCGGGAAAGCCAGTTCCCAGCGGCTCACCCCCGCCCCCAGAGAGATACTCGGCTCCTGGAGACGCCGCAAAGAAGCCGAGCCCCGCAGAGAGAAGGTTACTAAGAGACTTACCTCTCCAAGGGGCTGCTCTGGAGACTCGCGCTTCGCAGAGTCTCGGGGCCCGTCTAGAGCGCAACAGGCGGTCTCGCGGAGAAAGGCACCGTTTTTCGCCTTGGCAGCCCACCCCGCCTGCCCGTATCAATCCGCTGGCCTCCCTCCTGCGCCACCGCTCGCTCCAGCGCTAGAGCCGGCGCTCTGTCGCCCCTCCCCCTATTTCAAGCTGCAGGACGTGCGGCGAAGGGGCGCCGGCCCGCCTCTCTGGAAGTGGGCGGACTTAGGCAGACCCCCGCGGACCTGCAAGGGGACGTTGCAGGAGAACTCTAGATAAAGAAGGCCTAGCGGGGAGGCGGGCGCTCGAGCGGGCGCCCGAGAGCTCGAGCTGCTTCCACCCTCTTGGGTCCGGGGAAGGGAGGGAGCGTTTGATCCAATTAGCCTGCTGCCGCTCTGGGAATGAACCAAGGCGCTGCCCAGCAGCAGCAGCAACTGGGCGGGATATTAGTCTAACCGCAACCTGGGCTGAGCTCCGGAAGCAACCAGGTTGCGAAGGCAAGGATCAGGCCTGGGACGTCATACCAGTGGGAGCACTTCTGCCCATGTGGAGAGTGCATGCCTCATGGCTGAGTAACCGAAGCTCAGTCCCGGGTGCCTAGGAATAGGCAGCGACAGGGCTTCCACACCAGAAGCCGGCGTCATTTTCTGAAGGCGTGAGACTCAGTCCTTCTCTCCCTCTCTCATAAATAGGCAGAAATTAGTCATCGGACACGGCTCTTTTACTCGGGAAAGTGAGCCCTTCCCTTGCCGTTTTGTGCCACGGCTGGACCCGAGAAGCTACGAGCGGGCACTGGGAGGTGGAGGTCACCCCCGCCTCTCGCGGCGGGCGCACTCGCGTATCCTGAGGGCGGCCAAAGCAGGGGAGAGCAGTGATTCACGCGGGCGACCGCTGGCCCTTCCCAGGCTGCCTTCGCGGCGGCGGGGTAGCGCCGCTGCGGGGAATCTCGCCTGGCGAGGCTGCTGGCACCGTCCTCGTGGAACAGCCAGATCACCCTTGCCGCTGCTGCGCGTCTCCATTGGCCACGAGCAGCAGCCAATCGGTGGGCTCCCCGCAGCAGCGGGTGGAGATGTTCCATCCACGTGTCTTCCACCCATCCTTTCGGGAGAATACGAGGTGTCTCTACCTCTTTTAAAACCGGCCTTATTTGTGGAGTAATAATGAAACGCGAGCTTGTTGTTTAAGGGGTCCTGGCTTTTCCTCCCCATAAAGATTTGGATTTTTTTTTTTTTTAAATCATGCAACCCCCCCCGGTAATTTCTCATCCAAAAGTTCGATTCCTAACTTTTACGACCTTTTGGTTCCTTCAGAACAGGATTGACATTCTCCCCGTCCTTTAACCCATAGATTAGCTATGACTCCACATTTCAATTAAGATTTCAGATTAACATGCGTGGAAATGTTTTCTTGCTCAGTCTTTTTCCTAGCCTTGACAATCTTGAAATTTCCATACTGCACAGAAGTTTGATGTTTTTTCAAGTGACATAATGCCACCAGGCCTTGGTTTGTAAAGGTACCAGAGCTCAAGTTCCCTCCCTGTGAATTTTTTTGTGAGGACAGATGGGTGAGGACTGCTACTTGGTTACTCAGTGATAACTGAAAGGTACTTTCTATCAGGCATATGCTTGCATTCGTACAAATTACAGGAAGTCACTACAAGCTGGAACTTCCTGCAAGCAAATAGGTGTATGGCACCCACCTTTTGGAGCACAAACATTTTAAGTTTCCATGTGCTTGAGGATGTTTTTTCAGAAGTAAGTCCTGCTGAATCCATTAGGGTTCAATCCCAAATAACAGTTTTCAGAGAATAGCTCTATAGTCTATTGCACCAAAACCAACAAAGAGTCTTGTGACATTGCAAACACCTTACGTATTTATTCTGGCATAAGTTTTTGTGTATTGTAGGCCACTTCATCAGATGCATGAAGTATTATTAAGAGTTTCAGGTTTTCATGCAGTACTTAAGCTGCTGTTGCTGATAACAAACATCCTGGCACAAAGTAAAATATTTAACACATACGGTGTGATAAAAATCCATTATTCTATTTCTAGTCTTTGATGATAGAACTAAGCATGTTAATAAATTCTAATTCAGCAGTTTTTCTATTCTCCCTTTGGAGTTCCGTTCCTCTACAATGGCTAATTTTAAGTCAATGATAAAATGTCCTGGGAGAGGGAAGTGTATTCCCACTGTGTTCTGAATATGGATATTTCCGATGTTAAATTTGTGTCCATTTATTGATTTATTTGTAGAGACAAGGCTTTTTGCAACACCTGTCATTGTATAGGACCACTATTAATAATGTGATTGTCATAATTAGTACTTTCTGTACTGAATTTCCCTCTGACTGTGCTGTTTATATTCCCCTCCCCCACTTCCACCATATGTAATGCATAAGAACCTGAAACTCAGCAAAATACAGAAAGCATCTGATGAGGTGGACTATAGTCTCTGAAAGCTTATGCTCAAATAAACTTTAGTTTTTAAGGTGCCACACAGGTTAAGCTCATGAACGTTTGCATAGAATGGCAGCCTAAAAATGTGAAATGTAACAAATGTAGTTTCTTTATGTTGTTTCATCTGCTCTGGAAATAAATCCAGATGAATTCTGGTTCAAATAAAGTACTAGTTATCTCTCCAACACAGAAGATTTAGGCTTCAGTTCTGTAATGCCACATATTTAAATGTATAAATCTCAGCTTTTTTCTGGTAATTCCCCACCAGGGATGGGAATCTGTAGCCCTCCAGATGTTTGCTTTCAGTTACCATCTGTTCCATCCTGCATGGCTAGTGATGATAAGAGTTGTAGTCCAACACCTGAGGGTCCACAAATTCTCATTTTTAGAGAATTAAAAGTAATAGATTATCAGGGCACCAGGGTACCTCTCCAGAATTAATAGAACTTACAGAATTTAACTTATTTTTCCTGAAACAGTATTCTGCAAGGCCTGGATGTTTCTTTCAGTTGCTTATGGTTGCATAAATGGTTTTTCAAGGGTAGGATGGTTCCAGTGATCCCCAAACAAGTACCCACACTTTCTTTCTGGAATATGAACACTCTCATCAAAACATTTGATAACAAACTCTTCTAAGACATTTACCAAAGACATAATCCTATGCATAATTAGACTTAAAAGAGCCATTTTCTTGTCTGGACATGCTTAAATTCATTTTTGCTTCCTGGGAGATCTTGGAATCTTAATGAGCCTAGTGTTCTTTGTCATGTGATAAGATGAATTATGAAAGGATTACTGCTTTTCTAAACAAATAATTCCAGTGTTTACTAATTCACTTGAGTAATCGTTTATATATAATTAGAAGAAATCATTATGAAAGTTTAAATAGAGATCCTTGCATGGTTGGTTATTTATTTATTGCATTTCTGTACTTCTCAATAGCTGAATCCCTTTGGGTGGTTGAGAACAATTATAATAAAGTTACAAGTTGGAACCTGCAGCAGAATAATGCAGTGCATCCCCTGCCCCCAATGGTTGTGCTCCTGTTCAAAGTTCTAGCCAATCTGGAACATAATATTCTGCTGTCTGCAGCCCACAGGGGTACAAACAGAAAAGGAAACTCTTCCTTCCCATCCTCCTGAAAGGCTCAGGTTCAGCACTGACTACTGGTCATGAGTCTCAGCACTTTATTGCTCTATGGAGGGGAGGTTTCTGGTGGGAAAGAAAGGGAAACAAATGGTCCTTTGCTCTCCTGAAACACCTCTTGAAAGACATTCTTTTAATCTAAGTCTTCAACTAATCCAGGGTACTGTAAGATTTTAAAGCAAGGGGGGAAATGCTTATTTCTTCCCATTGTCATGTTCCTTTCTCCACTGCCCAGCTGACAGCCCCTGCACCCTGTGCTCAGTTGCCCTAAACATTCTGCATGTTCTGGAAGTCAATGAGTGTAGGCCCTTTCCAGGCGGTTTGAGTAATAATTATTTTAAAAACCATTAGGCTCCTACATCCTTGGGGAATGCCTGTGACCCTTTGTGGATGTTTAATTTTGCTTCTAAACTGATAGGGCAGAGAAGCACCCAAGTTCAGTGTTACTGGAAATGATGTGGTGGCAGTGGCATGCCTCCAAGCAAACACCAAGGGTTATTTATTTGCTAAATCTATTATACTCCTTTTACCTTCAAGGAGCTCAGAATGACTTACATATGATTCTCAAGTGGTTTTCCATTGAAGCAATGCTCAGGATTGAGTCCCTTTAACTTCAGCTGTTAAGTCATATTATGTATTAACAGTAGTTATCTGACTCACCATATTAGTACCATCACTTCATGGTTTAGTAATAATGTAGGAAGAGTGTTGGCTTACATTCCCTTGTCCACTGTTTGGAGTAAATTCTCACATGCATACTCAATCTGTTAGGTTCTTCTAGTTGCACTATTGAGATGATGGTCCAAGTTAGAACATAAGAAAAACCATGCTGGATCTTTGCTCTGCTGGGCTTAGGAGCCTTTGTCAGAAGCCTTTTGGAAATCTAAGTAAACAATCTCTATTGGATTGTCCTTCCTTACTGCCATGCTTATTGACACTCTCAAAGACTCTGATAAGTAGGTTAGACAGGACTTACCCTTGCAGAAGCCATGCTGATTCTTTTTCAGCAAGGCTTGTCCTATGTGCTTACTGATTCTATCTTTAATAATGTTTCTGTGCAATTTACCCAGGGCAGACATTAAGCTAAGTGGTCTGTAATTCCCTGTATCCCTTTGTAAATATTGGTGTTACATTTGCTATTGTCCAGTTCTCTACTACAGAAGGGGATTTTAGGGAAATAGTAAATAGTTTGGTGAGAAGGTCAGCAATTTCATATTTTAGTTTTTTGAAAACCTCTAGGATGGAAATCATTTGAGCTGGATGATTTATTTACTTTCAGTTTGTCAAGTTGAACATTAAGACACTGGGATAGGTACTGGGGCAGCAACTGGGTGACATAGAGCAACAGTCAGTTATCAATCCATTGCTAGCTTAAAAAATTAGGAGTTTGTAAAGCAACATTTTTAATTTCAGCAACCTGTCTTCCTGTTGTGCTAGCAGTGGTACTGTATTCTTGCCAGAATCTGTGGTCTAACAAAACTCCTGTGACAAGGGCTGAAATTTCTTGTACACTTGAGAATCAAGCTCTATTTTGGTTTTTTCCATCTTCTTGTGAGAGAAAATGTTCTAACTTATCCTCCTTCCCCATGTATTTCTATCACCCTCAACCTGTGGAGAGTAACTTTCTGAAGTGGAGGTCACTCTGTATCTGTAGAGTCTCTCCACACAATTCAGAACACTGGAGAATGC